ACTGCGCCTCCACTGAGTCTGGGTATGGTATTCTTTACTCCTAGTTGTAGAATTTCCACTCAGCCAGCCCTCCTGTGTTTCTGGATGTTGTCCGTTCCCTGTTTCAGGCGTAATTTGAATTGGTTGTTCAAGGCAGCAATCTCCGGCGTTAACCTATGCCGCCATCTTCGGTTCTCCCAACACACTAGGTCGTAACTTCTGAGTTGGGTTTTGAGGGATGAGTAGGAGCCTCAGAGGGCAAAAGAGGGAAGGGCATTCCAGACGAGGGAAGCACAGAGGGGAAGGCCCAGAGGCGAAGAGACGTGGCCCTGAGGGCAGAAGCAGGGACCCGGGTGGGTGCTGATCAATCAAATCATCCGCAGCCGAAACCGGTTTGGCTCAGTGGATAGAGCGTCAGCCTGCGGACTGAAAGGTCCCAGGTTCGATTCCGGTCAAGGGCATGTACCTGGGTTGCGGGCACATCCCCAGTTGGGGGTGTGCAGGAGGCAGCTGATCGATGTTTCTCTCTCATCGATGTTTCTGACTCTCTATCTCTCTCCTTTCCTCTCTGTAAAAAATCAATAAAATATATTTTAAAAAAACAAAAAACAAACATCCGCGAAGAAAACCCGGACGTGGCCTCAGAGGCCTGTTCACACTCAGCCTCTGGCTGTGCTAATCTGACACCGATTCACATAAAGAACCTTTAAGCACCATGTACAACATACATGAAAGGCCCTCCCGGACCCAGACATGGACACGGACAAGGACACGGACATGGACATGAACACAGACACAGACATAGACAAAGACACACACATAGACACACAGGCACGAACACGGACACGGACATGGACACAGACACACACACAGACACGAACACGGACACGGACATGGACACACACACATAGACACACAGGCACGAACACGGACACGGACATGGACACGGACACGGACACAGACACCCTTGACAAGGAATCGTCCCACAGCTCATCTGGCAGAATCAGGATCTGAAGCCGGAGAGAGGGAGGGAGGGAGACATCGATTGGTTGCCTCCCACATGTGCTGAGGATCTAGCCTGCAACTGAGGAATGTGCCCTTGACAAGGAATCGAACTCGTGACCCTTCGGTCTGCAGGCTGACACTCTAACCACTGAGCAGCCAGCTAGGGCGAGTTTGTGATTTTTTAAAAACAGGAGACAGGGAGGGAGGGAGGGTCACCTGAAATTACGGTGATAACAGGGAGGGTGGCACCCAGGCTGCTCCCACCCTCTGAGCCGGTCCTTCATCTCACACCCCCTCCCATCCTCTGAGGTGGGATGGATAGTGCAGCTCGCATCACGATCGGCGAAGGTCTCGGCCACAAGCCAGCCGGGAGGGCCTGGGTGCCGCCAGAACCGGGCAGCGCCCATGAACATCACAGAAAGCACCCAGCCGTGAGGACCTACTGTGCGCCTGGCACGCTAAGCCTACTGGCTTCATCACAGCGCCTCATGTTTACAGAGGACAAGCAGACGCGAGAGGCTAGTTGTTCTATCTGCGGTCGCACAGCCTAGGGTTCAAGTCAAAGCAGACTCCCAGGCCAGGTCCCTGGAGCAGCCCCAGGCCTGTGTTCTGAGGTGGGGGTCTGGGTGCAGTGGGGGTGCTGGGAGGAGGCCCCGGCCCTGGAATGCTGTGACTCACCTCTGCTCGGCTGCCCCCCCTCTTTGGGAGGCCAATGGGCAGAGAGAAACAGGTTTGCTTCATGGGCGAGACCAGGCCCCCAAACTCTAACGGGTGGGGCTTCTGGCAAGTGAGGCCGGCACGTGGCCTGAGCCGGAGCCTCAGGAGGCCTGTTCCCCCCTACTTCCCCCCCACCGCCCCCCACAGCTTCCCAGGTGGCGTCTCACGCTCTCTGTACAGCCACTGGGTTCCGGAGACCAAGGACGCGTGTCCCCCGCCCGCAGCCACCCTTCACCTCCCGCTCTGCGAGAGGAGCAGAGGCCCAGGAGCCACACGGTCCCGCCGCCAATGCACAGAGCATCCCCGGATCCGTCACCATCCGTCACTAACAAAATAGGGCGGAACAGGTACCGCGAAAACGACAAAACAACCTGGAAGTTTTGAAAAGGTCCCAATAAATGGAAAGACCGCCTGTGTTCACGGACTCAAATCGCAATATTGCTAAGATGGCAAAACCCCAAACTGCCCCGGAGGCAGCACCATCCCCACTGGGAGCCCCGCGGCCTGCGCTGCAGACTGACAAGCAGGTTCTAAAATTAACATGGAAACTCGAGGCCCCAGAATAGCCTGGACGGTCCCGAAAAAGAACAAAGTGGAGCACTCACACTTCCGATTTAAACCTACTAAACGCTTCTGTGATAAAGACGGTGCGGCGCGGCATCTAGAGCAACAGGGCGGACTCGAGAGTCCAGAAATAAACCCTCACGCTATGGCCGGCTCGTTTTCTTTTGTTTTTTTAATCCTCACCCAAGGATACGCTTAAAAAAAATTAGAGAGAGGGAGACATCAATGTGAGAGAGAAACATCAATTGGTTGCCTCCTGTATGGAACTCACAACCTATGTATGTGCCGTGACCGGGAATCGAACCCACAACCCTTCAGTGCGCGCAGGATGATGCCCCAACCAACTGAGCCACCCTGGCCAGGGCTGGCCAATGGGAAAAAAATAGTCTTTTCAACAAGTGGTTCTTGTTTGTGTGGAGTCATCAGGGAAGGCTTCCTGGAGGAGGGGACTCTGAAGGAGGAAGAAGAGCAGGCGAAGTGCTAGGTAGCAGGAACGGGCTCATATAGTCTGATACCCTGTTGTTAAGGCCCCATGGCCCTGGAGGGTGAGTGGGGCAGGGTTTCAATTCCAGTTACAGAGAAAGAAACTGGCGTTGCTAGCTCGACTTCCCAAAGCTGGAAAGTGCCAGAACTGGGATGTGGCCTCCCCTCCCCCATCCCCAGGAGGCCCCTCCCTCTTCCCAGTGGCCCACCCTGGCCCAGACAGGGCTGCACTAAACACACATGTGGGTTCCATGCCCCCTCTTCAGGCACAGCGAGCCAGCAAGGACCTCCTGAACCTGACTGCCCCGGAACACACGGACTCAATTAGCCTGTTCTAAGGTGATGGCTTTCTGTTTTGTGCTGTGGAGCCCAACTCAGCAAATTAACATTTGTGAATAGGACTCTGTTATGAATTTTAATGATGTTTATTCATTCACAGTCCAAGCAAATGACAGATTCGGTGCTTTACTTAATATGTTCATTGCCATTTTATTACAGTGTTCGCAATGAAGCGGCATCAAATATTAATTTAAAGAGCCAATCGCACGATTCCCTCTCAGAGTGGCCCACGCAGGTTTTCAAAAGCCGTGCGATGCTCCGCGTCACTCCCTCAGGGCACAAGGGGCGGGTTTTCACAGTGACCGCTGGCCCTGCTGCAGGGGTGGGGAACGTCCGGCCGGCGGGCCGTGCAAGGCCTGCGAGATCATGTGGCCTGGGCCTGCCGAGGCACTCGGGGTGAGTTAATCAAGTGTCTGACCGAACATCGCGGGCCAATGTTTCCGTTGGTAGTTTTGTGTGGCCTGCAAATGATGTTCTAGATAGCCCATGGCCCCTGGCAGAGAAAAGGTTCCCCACCCGTTTGTAGGTGTGCACCCGGCTTTTGTAAGGGTCATCGCTACTGCCTGCCTTCGATCGGGAGCTCAAACGCCGTGTCCACACGTTCTGAGAGGCCCCTGCTCGAACCCAAGAGGTGGGCTTCCCAGAGCAGAGGGGCCACACAAATTACTGCGCGTCCCCCACACGCGGGTGGGTGGCTTTTTAAAAAGTGTGTATTTTTATTGATTCAGAGAGGAAGGGAGAGGGAGAGATAGAAACATCAATGATGAGAGAGAATCACTGATTGGCTGCCTCCTGCATGCCCCACACTAGGGGTCGAGTCCACAACCCGGGCACGTGCCCTTGACCGGAATCGAACCCGGGACCCTTCAGTCCGCAGGCCGACGTTCTATCCACCGAGCCAAACGGGCTCGGGCTCGGGCGGATGGCTTTTGAAGCCCATGGGGTGGGCGTGCTTTTGGTTTTACACTTTTATATTTTTTTAAAAAATATATTTTATTGAACTTTTACAGAGAGAAAGGGAGAGGGATAGAGAGCTAGAAACATCGATGAGAGAGAAACATCGATCAGCTGCCTCCTGCACACTGGGGATGTGCCCGCAACCCAGGTACATGCCCTTGACCGGAATCGAACCCGGGACCCTTCAGTCCTCAGGCCGACGCTCTATCCACTGAGCCACACCGGTTTCGGCTGGTTTTACACTTTTAAAGTTTTATTAGACAACAAGAGACAGAAGTGGTTCTGAGCAACAAAGGAGAGAATCCAAGAGGCACAGCTGGTCATCAGGGGAGGCTGACGATGGAAAGGCCAGTGGCCGCGGCCACAGCCGCCAAGGACCCCGGATCAGGACACAGCAGCACAGCAGGACCTCGGGGCAGCCGGAAATGGGCCGGGGGGGTCCCAGGTGGCTTGAAACTCCCTGGCCGCTGGCTGGGCATCCCTGGGACCCTCCTCTGAGCCGAGTTGTCACCAGCGCCCCCCGCGGGGCCCACGGTCACTGTAGGTGCGTTCCCCACCCTGCCTTCCTGGGGCCTGCAGGAGTGTGAGGTCACACCCGTTCACAAGAGTGGGCCGCACCAGCACGTTTTTACAGTATTTAAAAAAAGAAAAGGGTGCCCTGGCCAGTGTGGCTCAGTGGTTGGGCACCAACTCATGCACCCAAAGGCTTCCGGTTTGATTCCCAGTCGTGGCACGTGCCTGGGTTGCAAGCTCCATCCCTTTGGGGGAGGCAGCAGGCAGCTGGCTGATGCTTCTCTCTCACCGCTGCTTCTGTCCCTCTCCCTCTCCCTTCCTCTCTCTCTCAGATCAATTTAAAAATATTAAAAAATAAAACTAGAAGAAGAAGAAGAAAAAAGGACAGGAAGTGCCATTCGATGAGCTTTCGTTCCAGCGATTTTGGGGAGGGTCCTATTTGAAATACACTGATTCGCGAAGCGCTTACAAATGCCGCTGAGGGACCCTGTGTGCCTGGCTGGGGGCGGGGTGAGCCTCCAGGGCCGGCAGCGACACTTTTCCATAAAGTTAGACATTCAGTGCCTCACGTGCAGCAGCCACATCTCGAGGGCTCGACAGCCACACGTGGACAGTGCGGGCCATGTCTAGCATCACAGAACGTTCTGGGAAACAACGGTCCACCTTTAACGGCGGTGACACACCGAGGCGCCCATCCTACCTCCTCCCTGCACACCGGGTGCCACCACTCCCTGCTGCACCTCCCGGCCCTCCCTGCCAGCTCTCGGTCGGCCCCTGGGCCACCTGCCTGGCTGGGGGCGAGGTTCCCCCAGCCCCTCCCCCCACACCCCACACTGCCTGCCTCCCACGGGCCCTGGGAGTCCCGGGGGAGAACCCATTCCGGCCTTTTCCACCTCTGGGGGCGCCTGCTTCCCTCGGCTTGTGGTCCTGCAACGTACCAGTCCTGCTTCCTGCTTCGTCCTCACATCTCCTCTCCCTCCTCCTCCTCCCTCTTGTAAGGACCCTTGTGGTGACACTGCCTGCCCCCCCCCAGACCCTCAACCAGTCACACTCACACAGGCCCTTCTGCCATGTAAGGAGACAGATTCACAGGTTCCCTCGACTGAAACGTGGACGTGGGGGGGTGGTGGTCACTGTTCTGCCCGCCACACCCTCTTCTCTGCCCCCCTTCACTCCAGGCCAAGAAGAGAGGAGGGGTCCCCGGGGCCATGTCTGCCACCACCTCGCCCCAGAGCGCATGCATGAGAGGACAACGAGGGGTCCCCACACCCAGAGGGCTCGGGAAGGACAAGTGACAAGTGTAAGGTGGCAGGTGGGCATCCTCCAGCCCCGCCCAGGTGCTGCCCAGAGCCTTCACCTCTCAAAGTGTTTCAGGTCCCGTGAGGGATTTCACAGTTTTTATGTAGGAGAACCCACTGCACAGGAGTTTCCAACAGGAAATGGCTCACTGAGGTGGAGCTGAGCACACTGCTCCGGGACCCCCCCCCCCCCCCCCCCAGGCTGACAGCACCCCCCCGGCTCTGCTTCCTGTGCATCCTATAGATCAGGCCCAGCCACCCCACGCGGGAGGGTAAGACCTCCCCTTTGCTTTCCCTCATCAGGTGCCTCAGTGCCAGGCCTATGGCTCAAAACAGAGGGTAGGAGGATGGACAAAGAGCTCACCGCCAAACCCGGAAAACAGCCAGAAAGACTCCCCACACAGCCTGGGGATCAGGCTGCCATCAAGGAGGGCCCTGTGTGCATCAGGGAAGGCTTCCTGGAGGAGGTGCCACTGCTGAGTCTTAGAGATGAAATGGGCCCGAACGGGTGGCCCAGAGTCCTTTACAAGGTGGTGGGAAGTGTCCCGGCCGTGGCCTGGGGCCCCAGGGTCCTCCCAGTGATGAAAGCTGGGAGGACCCTGGGGCCATGGTCCTCTGCCTGCTGCTGGGTCCCCTGTGCGCACGTGCACACACACACACACACACACACACGGCGGCTCAGTCACACATCACTCTTCCTGCAGGACTAAGCTTGGCGACTGGAGGCAAAAGTCTGGGGACGACCTGCCCACACACAGGGACATCCCAGGCCCCCCACACACAGGGGCGTCCCAGGGCCCCCCCACACGCAGGGGCGTCCCAGGGCCCCCCCCCACACAGGGAGGTCCCAGGCCGCCCCCA